CACTAAGTTGTTTTGTTAGCATAAATTCAGGTGTGATGGAAAGGAACTCATTTTGAATAATGAAAGCTGTTCCTATCATTCAGGAAAGTCCAAGGGTTTGGGGAATTCTGCACCAGGGACAAAAACAAAAATATTTTTTCTTTTAATTTTTTGTTGGCGCACATAATTATTACATATAATCAATAAAATTGTTATATGTTCATATATGCACACAACATAATTTGGTCAATTTCATTTCCCAGTACCTCTACTTCCCCTGAAAATATTTCTTCTTACATTACTCCCACTAAACAAATACACATTTAAGCAAACAACAACCATGAGCACCTTGGGTAGAGAATTAGTATTCCAAATGTAACACATGATATAGTGTTGCTATAATGCATTATGTAAAATGTCCAGTTTTCAACAAAAAGTTAGGAGCCCTGCAAAGAAACAGGAAAGTACAACCTGTACATAGGGAAAAACAAACAAAAAAACAAATAGCAACAATGAAAACTAGGCAACAGAATCTGCCTTTGAGACAGTTCAAATATTGGACTTCAAAGAAGCTATTACATATGTATTAAACAAACTGTGACTAAACCATGATAAAAGAATTAAAGGAAGATAGTGATGACAATGCCTCATCTAGGATAGAATGTCCATAAAGATCCGTAAGTATCAATATCAAATATCATAAATCCTGGAGTTGAAAATAATCACAGCCCAAGTGAAAAATTCACTGAAGAGATGCAACAGTGAAAGAAAAAGATCAGCAAACTTGTAGATAAGTCAATAGAAATTACAGAATCTGAAAAAAAGAGAAAAATGGAGAAAAACAGCAGCTCTGTGACATGTAGAATATCATCGAATGCATCAACCTACACATAATGAAAGCCTCACAAAGACAGGAGAGAGAAAGAGGAGCAGAAAAAATATTCAAAAAGTAATGACTGAAAACTCTCAAAGTTTGATGAAAAGAGCATTTAATCAACATATCTAGGAAACTCACCAAATTCCAAAAAGGAGAAAAGCAAAGATGCACTTTCATAGCCAAAATGTTGAAAGAAAAAGAGAAAACAAATCGAAAGCCACAAGAACACATACAGGAGAATTGCACCAAGATTAATAGCTGAATCACCACCAGAAATGAAAAATGTCAAAGGCAGCAGAATGGCATATTAAAAGTGTCAAAAATAAATAAAACCTCAACCAAGAATCATATACCTGGGAAAAATAACTTATAAAAATAAAAGTAAAATAAAGAGGTAAGCAAAACAAGGAAAGAATGTTTTGCTAGCACCCTTGATTTACAGGAAATACCCAAGGAAGGTCTTAATGTTGAGAACAAGTGACATCAGGCAGTAATTTTTTTTTATTCATGTGAAAAAGCAAAGAGAATCAATAAAGATAATTATGTATATACTTGTTAAAGAGTATAATTACATATTTCTTCTGACTGAGTTAAAAAAACTATTGCATAAAACAATGGATATATAATTGTATTCTTGGGTCTATAATATATAGAAATGTAATGTACCTGTCTAATATTACAATATACAGATTCATATTATAAAGGAAGTAGGTGGGAGCCAAACTGCATTGTCGAAAGGACTTCCTTAATGAATGAATTCATTAGAAACCTATTAAAAAATATGAAACTGGAATTGCCTTATTCCCAGTTTATGGCAGACATGGAAACATTTAAAAGGAAAAAAAAATATTGCTCTGTAGTATAGTTTAACGTCTGGTATAGTGATGCCACCTGCCTCACTCTTCCTGCTAAAGATTGCTTTAGCTATTCTGGGTTTCTTATTTTTCCAGATGAATTTCATGATTGCTTTTTATATTGCTATGAGGAATGTCATTGGGATTTTGATTGGAATTGCGTTAAATCTGTATAGTGTTTTTGGAAGTATGGTCATTTTGATAATATTAATTCTGCAAAACAGCATGGTATTGGCACCAAAACAGACTGGTAGACCAATGGTATAGAATAGAAGACACAGAGACTAACCCACAAAACTATAATTATCTTATATTAGACAAAGGTGCCAAAAACATGCATGCCGCAGTCTGGCTGGGCACAAATAACCCAGCCGATGCGAAGCACTTGTAGGTTCAAACAGCAACTCCTTTACTGCCCAAACTCCACCAGCACTCCACATACGCTCCCAGGGAACCCTCTCACCCTCCACCGCGGCTCTGCTTGAACTCTCCCGGAACCTCCAGGGAACTCCAAAGTAGCGGGCGTAGGAGGCAGCAGGAGCCGCCCTATTGCCGGACAGCAAAGGTCTATATACAACTGAATACACAGCTTAACTTAACCATCATCATCTCAATGGCTCTCTGGCTTCACCTCTCAACCACTCCCTCTGGCAAAATGCCAGGTGTCACCCCGACTTGGCTGTGGCTCTCAACAATGCATTGGAGAAAAGATAGCCTCTTCAACAAATGGTGCTCGGAAAACTGGAAATCCATATGCAACAAAATGAAATTAAACCCCTATCTCTCATCATGCACAAAACTCAACTCAAAATGGATCAAGGACTTAGGAACACAACCAGAGACCCTGTGTCTAATAGAAGAAAAAGTAGACCCTAATCTCCATCATGTGGAATTAGGCCCCAACTTTCTTAGTAAGACTCCTGTGGCACAAGAATTAAAATCAAGAATCAATAAGTGGGATGGACTCAAACTAAAAAGTTTCTCCTCAGCAAAAGAAACAATCTATGAGGTGAATAGAGAGCCTACATCTTGGGAGAAAATCTTTAACCCTCACACATCAGATAGAGCACTAATCTCTAGGATATATAAAGAACTCAAAAAGCTAAACATAAAAACAACAAATAACTCAATCAATAAATGGGCCAAGGACCTGAACAGACACTTCTCAGAAGATGATATACAATCAATCAATAAATATATGAAAACATGTTCATCATCTCTAGCAATTAGAGAAATGCAAATCAAAACCACTCTAAGATTTCATCTCACTCCAGTCAGAATGGCAGCAATTATGAAGACAAACAACAATAAATGTTGGCGAGGATGTGGGGAAAAAAGGTACACTCTTACACTGCTGGTGGGACTGCAAATTGATTCAGCCAATATGGAAAGCAGTATGGAGATTTCTTGGAAAATTGGGAATGGAACCACCATTTACCCAGCTATCTCTCTCCTCTCCTCGGTCTATACCCAAAGGACTTAAAAACAGCATACTACAGGGACACAGCCACATCAATGCTTATAGCAGCACAATTCACAATAGCTAAATTGTGGAACCAACCTAGGTGCCCTTCAATAGATGAATGGATAAAAAAGTGGCATGTATACACAATGGAATATTACTCAGCAATAAAAGAGAATAAAATCATGGCAGTTGCAGGTAAATGGATGGAGTTAGAGAAGATAATGCTAAGTGAAATTAGCCAATCCCCCCAAAAACCAAATGTTGAATGTTTTCTTTGATTCATAGTGGGATAGGGATAGGGAGATGGGAGGAATAGATGAACTCTAGATAGGGCAGAGTTGTTGAAGGCAAATGGAGGGGGCATGGGGTTAAAAATGATGGTGGAATGTGATGATAATTATTATCCAAAGTACATGTATAAAGACACGAATTGGTGTAAATATACTTTGTATACAACCAGAGATATGAAAAATTGTGCTCTATATGTGTAATAAGAATTGTAATGCATTCTATTATCATATATAAATAAAAAAGGACAAAACATGGAGTCAGAAAATCTGTATTGAGTCCTTGCATTGACACACAGTCTGTGAGACACAATTTGAGAAATATGTCATTAGTTGATTTTCATCATTGTACAAACACCATGAGTGTCAGATCTTAAATTTGGGTGCTCAGAAGTTTCTATAAGTCTGATATAAGTCCTTCTCAAAATTTTGTTAGCCTCCTTGCCTTTAAATGAAGCACATCTTTTAAGATCTTCCCTTACTTTGTTCTTGCTCTTTAATATTGTAGACATGCTGGGATAGCACATGCCTGACTGGTGAGGAATAACCACACTGATTTTCCAATGCTGTAGCCTTTAATCATTTTTAATTTGTTTCCAGGTCAATCACTTGACATGGTCTCTTACTGGCAACATTAGCAACACATTTTGCATGCTTAGGGGCCATGATGAACAAAATACGAGATCAAATCAAGCAGGAGAGAAAACAATGCAATTGAGAGATGTCAAATACACAAGACGGATAAAGCCGCTGCTAGAGTAACTGGCATACTGTTTGATAGCATACATTTTTAATAAGTAGGACTGTACTCTAAAATAATGAAAAAAGTATAATATAGCAAATATAGCAGTAATAGTCATTTATTGTCATTATCAACTATTATAACTGTGTTATACTGTATGTACTATATGTACTGTACTTTTATTGGTACATGTATAAAGACACGAATTGGTGTAAATATACTTTGTATACAACCACCAGCATCACCACAAACAGGTGAATAATGCATTGAGCATGTTACTCTAGGCTAAAGCAATTTTTCAGCTCCATTATAATGTATGGAACAAGAGTCATACATGAGGTCAGTTGTTGACCAAAATATCATTGTGTGGCACATGATTATTATTTTGAACTTAGAAAAGCTGCTAACTTCTTTGAATTTCAGTTTCTTAATTCATCAGATGCTGTTCACAATCTGTTATCTGACCTAGGATGACGTGATGTAATGACAGAATTAGTGGATTCATAAGTGAAGATGTTCCTATTTGTATCCAAGGTTGCAGCCTGCCAGCTCAAATTCATCCAAAGTCAAGCTCCAAAGCACCAACCTCTCCCCACATCACCCAAAGGTCATACAATTTGCATCCCACAATCCCTTTCTGCAGAAATAACACTTCCTTAAACTTCCATGGCCCTTCATCACCACTTCTTTAATTACACTTACTACAGTCTTCCTGAAATCATTTGTTTTCATGAACTATTTTCTCTTTTAGACCGGGCTTGCGGAAAGGCGGAAAGGTTCCTGTGTCTTCCATTTTTATCCTGTATTAAGAGACACTAAATACAGAATCTCTGAATGTATTCAATTAACATCAAGTCCCAGGTAACTGTTTATCTCTCCTATTTAAAATACCTTGTTTAAAAAATGTTGGCTACAGTATATTCCAGTTGTATCCAGAATGCTTGCAAATCACAGGCTTGTCATTTCACTTGGATATCGGTGGAGGAAGGAATGCTATAAAGTCCATGAAAGTATTAACTTACATAAGAAATGTTTAAATCAAAATATTAATATATTTCTTACTTAAAAGGATATGAAATTTTGAATAATCCCCCTCCTTCTATGTTAGTTTCATTTTCAAATGTCTATTGACATTGTTTTATGATTAAAGCAAAACTGCTGCTCATAATAACGATAAGAAAAATAACCTGCAAGCAACTTATACTTCCATTTAAAAGCTCTCTGGTGGTTCAATAAGCCAGGGAGCTCTACTTTTATAGCATTTTTCGTTTTGATTCTGATAAAAAAAAGAGAGAAAGTTTAAAAATTTCCTCTAGGGAACATTTAGGACAATCAAGTTTGTTAGTTGGCTTGAGATTTCCTCTCTTTGCAATTAATTAATCAAAATCGTGGAAGAGGGTGGGGTAGCAGGCGACAGCTCGGCTTGCCGCTGGGTCCACCTACCTACCCCTAAGCTCGCAGCGCGGGCGACGCACTTATGTGCAGTCACTCATTGGCCAGCGTTACACTAACCTTGACCAATCGCCCGCGGCTGGGTCGTCATGGCGACGGGCACGCTAACACTCCAGTGCCCGTCAGGGGGTCTGTTCCCTGGACTGCAGGGACCATGGCGCAGAATCTGTACTGTCCACGAGTGCGGATGGGAAACTGGAACGAGGACATCTACTTGGAGGAGGTATGGAGGGCGTGGCCAGGTGTGGACTGGAACTCCCGAACCCAGCCCAAAGTCCGGCCTCAACTCTGGCTTCCAGCACCCCAGCCTCCTCTCTCCCCCCAGCACACACCAAATACCCCCCAACCCACCTTCTGGACTGTCCTGCAAGCCCAGGGCTCATGGGGCTTCTACTCTAAGCACTCTGACGCCCCTTATAAACTCGGGTGCCTTGCTCTTCCCCTATGCCCCCCACTTAGGTCAGAGTTCCACTAAACTCTCCTGGGCCCTTGGTAGCTAAAGTCTTGAGGCTTCAGAAAGGCAAGCAGGAACCTCTAAATGGAATTAGTGTCCCTTTCCTCTCCTCAGCCTGATGGCCCAGGCCTTCCGGAGGGACCACGGAAATATCCCCTTTACTCACGGTGTATTCATTGCCTCGCGTTCTCAAACGTCCCTCTTAACAAACCTCTGGGGGAGGGGTGGGCTTTCCGTCCCCATCCTACAACCCGGGGGTGGGGGGGACCTCAGAAGGGGCGAGAGAGCCTCCAGTTTCTACTCTCGATTGTCGCTGGCTGGAATAATTACAGCTTTGCGTCTTTCTCCCTTTTCTAAACATTCTCCAGTGACATAAAGTATTAAAGTAATGCTAAAACATTTTCCCACCACTCTATTATGCTCACATTTCCTTTTCTATTCTCACAGTTCGCTCTTTCTACTTGAGATTCTTCTGACTTAAAAGCTACCACTGTTCTGTTTAGGGCTATTGTCCATACTTTGGAATTCATTCTTTTTCTCATTAATCAGGAATACATGAAAGACTTTTTAGACAAGAGAGAGAAGGGGGAACTTCTCATTCAGAGAAACAGAAGACTGAAAAAGAATCTTTTGAGACCGGTAATTTAAAATTCCAACATTGTTTTCAAAATTTTGTCGAATTAAGTGTGAGTATACGTTAAGCAAGAAAAAATAACATTTTTCCCCATGTAAAAGTCACAGTGCTTAAAATTCCTTAACATTTTAGAAACACAAAGGAAGACTGCTCTTCATTACGTTTACTTGCATTTTCCAAATAAATAAATCAATAGATTAATAATAATTAAGATACATCGTGTTGCTCAGGAAATTCTCAATGAAAATTAAATTAATAATGGAGTTGACACATTTGATTTTTCGCTGGCTTTGTCTGGCATTATTTGGGATTGCTGGGAATTTGGCATTGGCAAAGTAGAAGGGAATGGAAGAAAACTCAGGATTTGAGGGAATCCATGTGGGTGCTAGTCTGAGAAGGAAAGAGGGTACACCTGGGAGTGGCCATGGCCCTGGCTATTCAGGAATTGTCTGGTTTTTTTTTTTTTTTTTTGACAAATTCTTATTAAAATTGTAGATGCAGCTTTCCATATCTGAAGATGGATATATTCATTATGGAGACAAAGTGATGCTTTTAAATCCCAACTATCCTGAGAAGGAAGAAGCTGGTTTGTTTCAGTGTGGGGACCTGAGCCTTTGCATGACTCCAGATGAAATTTCAACTCACTTGTATGATGAATTAGAGGTGCCCTGTGGCCTAAGTGCAACTACAACCAGGATCCCAGTTGGCAGAAACACTTTTACCATTTTGAGGTAGAGATGATTTGATTTTCAGTTTTATAACCATAGTGTCTGTTTTCACTTGTAGCTTAAGGATGCCCTGGGATGGCGCAATGCTGGCAGGAGGCAAAAGATATGTGAACGTTTTCTGGGGTCTCATCATGCTGGCTTAACCTTGAGAATTATTAGCCTTTACAATCATTTTTACCTTAGTAGGATAATTGGTAACTTGGGCTCATTTCAAAATGTTTGCTTCATAATTATTGGAGCCAGGGAATCAAATTTGCATTCTGCTTGATGCAAAGTGGAGTTTTCTTTTGTTCTTTTGATACAAACTTTTATTTTTTATCTTTTTTCCACTTTCCATATTTTTTATTGGTGCATTATAGTTGTACATAATGATGGAATTTATGTGCATGTGTGAATATGTAACAACAATGTAACAATATAATTAGGCCAATATTACACCCCTGTACTCCCCTGCCCCCCCCACCACTCCCTTCTGCCTTCTGCTCCCTTTCCTCTACTGATCTCCTTTTGATTTTTTAAAGCTTTCTAACAACACAGAAACTTTGAATTCATCTGAGTGATATTGTCATTCTTAATGAATGTTGTTGTTATTTTTACAACAAAAATTAGTTTGATACAAGTTGGTGGTAGATGGAATTTGCTCTTTAAAAATTAAATGTCCATTAAAATGTACAACCTGCATTTTAAGAGGAAAGATTGTATTAAATATCTATGAATGTGCTACCTTGGTTACCTCCAAAAATGTCAATGCATTTTACCAGAATTTCTTAGTGTACATTAGCATAATGTGCTTGGGCAACTCCAGCCAAAGGCTTGCAAAGTGGGGATGCCCTGCATCCTGGCTAGGGAGCAGGCAAGGAAGAACATGGCAGCTGGATTTTACCCCCAACCCAACAGACCTTTTATTTAGTTATCTAATTCAGTTATAGAATGTGAATATAGATTATCAAGAAAATATATTATAAACAAAATTGAATAAGCAAAGGTAGATCTGTAGACTGATCCTAATCTGGGTAGTTATATTGTATTTATTTTCCCCTGACAGTGCAGGTAAAGATGCCACTGGTCAAGTCCTTAGATATGGACAGGACTTTTACCTTGGAATAACAGGAGGATTTGAAAACAAAATGGTGAGTCTTCAACTTGGCATGTCTTCTTTGGATCATTTTTATTTTTTTAAAAAATGGTCCAATAACTACCTCCTGAGGAGGACAGAGAACTCTACAGATGGAGGCTACGTCTCTGACTATGTTATGGTTTCATCCTGCAGTTTTCAGTGGCAGTTTTGGGCCAATTCTTTCTTCTAACTTTGCAAAAACAAACAAACAAAAACAAAACAAAAAATCCCCATAGACCTCTAAAAGCCAAAGTAAGGAAAGAAAATCCTTTAGTAATACAATTGGCAAAAAATCCCAAAGTTTATACAACTTCTACCTATAAGTTAAATGATTGGATTAACTAATTATCATCTGACACCTGCCAAATGTCACTGATGCTAGCAACGTATATTATCTGACAACTCTTTTGTCCATTTGTTTTTTAAGAGGCAGGGACTCATTATATACCCAGGCTGGCCTTAAACTTCTGGAGTCTGTGATACTCCTGCTTTTAAGTAGGTAGGACTGGGGGCATGGTGCCATCAGATCTGGTTCTATTGAACAACTTTTTCTTTCAAACTTTTGTTTAACAAGGGAGAAGGACAATATTTGGATACTTAAATTTGCATAAGTCAGGGAACTTTATCCTGGGGATTAAGAATATAATAAAATCAGGTAAATTTTAGTTTGAGTTACAGATACAGGAACTCAATAGGAATTTGTGATAGGAATTTGAATAAGTCAGTTAACCTTTTGAATCTGTCTTCTCTATAAAATGAGGAGTATTATACTTGTCTTACTGCATAATATTCAGTTTTGTAAATGCTTCACATGTATTAACTAATTTAATTCTTCATGGGAATCTATAAAGTAGGGAATCTTTTACCCCTATTTTGCTAATGGGGAAACTGAGGTACAGGGGCTTGTGCTATAGCTAAGTGGCAGAGAACTTGCCTAACATGCATGAGGCACTGGGTTCCATCCTCAGCACCACATAAAAAATAAACAAATAAAATAAAGGCATTCTGTTCATCTACAACTACAAAAAAAATTAAAAAGAAAAAGAAACCAAGGCACAGAAAGGTTAAATCATTTTGGCTCAAGTCACCCAGCTAGTAAGCGGCAAGGCTGAAACTATATAAAATTTCTCATTAAAATTTGAAGATTCCAATATTGTGTGATATAGCATTGTTGTTGTTTTGTTATTATTATTATTATTAGGTATTATTAAGAAAAAACTGTCAAGATTTGTGCACCATAGATAGCAAGGTGCAGCTTGATTTTATTTTTATTTTATTTCAATTTTGTGTGGTGCTGGGGATCAAACCCAGGGCCTTGGTAATGTTAGTCAAGTACTTTACCACTGAGCTGTTCCCCTAGTCCCATGAAGCATGATTTTAAATGTAGAAATTAAATTGTTAAGAGAGAAGATTAAATCACCATTGTCTATACAGAGATTATCATTCCTAACATCTGACTTATTTTATTTGTAATTTTCTAAATATTATTTATTTACTTATTTGTATTTATTTACTTTTTTCCCCCTAGTATTGGGGATTGAACTCAGTGGTGTTCTGACATGAGCTCCACTACAGCTCTTTATTTTTTGAGACATGGTCTCACTAAGTTTCCCAGGCAGGCCTCTAACTTTCAATACTCGTGCTTCAGTCTCCCAAGTTGTTGGGATTGTAGGCAGCATTTCTGTGCCTGGTTATATATTCTTTTATAAAAGTTAGATGTGACCATAATGAATACATAGCTAGATTATTTTTTAAAGAACATTTCTCAGGGCTAGGGTTGTGGCTCAGTGGCAGAGCGCTTGCCTCGCACATGTGAGGCACTGGGTTCGATACTCAGCACCACATAAAAATAAATAAACAAAATAAAGATTTTATGCCCATGTATAACTAAAAAAAATTAAAAAGAATATTTCTCAAAGCTCTTCATGACAATCATATTGAATAGTGCAAGATATATAATTGTGTGGCAATATCAAAGTTTCCTATTTTTTATTCTATTTCTGGGCAGTTGAGTTTGGTGTTCCTATTTTCCTATTATATGTAAAGTTTCAGTGTATATCTATGTATAAATGCTTAAAACTTCTTTCACTCAATCCCAAATCAGGAATTCTCTTTTTTTGTTTAGATATTTTGGGGGGAGAGACATGGAATTACTGAGAAAACAAATATGAATAATTTCAAAATTATGAATACATATAATAATTTATTTTTGTAATGGATTCTACCAACTTGTATTCTCAAAAGCAGTAAATAAGAAAGTTATTAATTGCATTAAATATTGTGTTAGCTTTGTGTTGTTGTGTCCAAAATACTTGACAAGACCAATTTGGAAGAGGAAAAGTTTATTTTGGTCCATGGCTTCAGAGTTTTAGTCCATTGTGGGCTGACTCCATTGCTTTGGGTCCAAAGTGAGGCAGAACATCATGGCGGAAGGGCATGGTGGAGGAACACTCTTCACCTCATGGTGGCCAGGGAGCAGACAGAGAGGGGAGAAGGGATTGGGGTGAAGGGTTGAGGGAAGATGTACTCTTCCAGAACATGCCCCCAGAGACCCACGCCCCTTCCAGCCATGCCCCCCCCTACTCACGGTTAACACCCTAGTCATTCCATTCAAACTAGGATGGACTGATTAGGTCAGGCTCTCACAATGTAATAATTTCACCTCAGAACATTCCTGCAGTATCACAGGAGCTTCTGGGGGATGCCCCATATCCAAGTCATAACAAATATCATAATTATAATCTTTACTACTTTGATGACCAAACAAAATGAGAAGAAAAATGATATGTAAATATTGCAGTGCTTTAATTTCCCTATGTTTTCAGTTTTGTTTTCTCTCCTTCCCCTTCCATTTATATCTTCCTACTTTTCATTCCTTTCTTCTTTCCTTTCTCTCTTTTTTGAATTATGTGTTCTTTGCCTATATATTGATTTGGGTTCATATATCTGCTTCTTCATATATTTTTCATATTTCTTGCTAATATTTTCTCCCATGTGCTGCTTGGCTTTTAAGTTGTTCTAATACTATGTTTTTGAGTAAAATCAATCAATGTTTTCCTTTGAAATTTTTCCCATTGCTTTTAAGGTTTAGTCTGTTTAGAGATCTATAGAAAGAATCTGGGGCTGTGGGTGTAGCTCAGTGGTGTAGCACTTGTCTAGCATGTGTAAGGCCCTGGTTCAATTCCTTGCACGATAAAAAAAATTGAATTCTAGATGTTTATAGTTTGAGTTTTGTTTAAATTTATTCTTTGATCCACTTGGGATTTATATTGATAAAAGGTTTTATGGGAGTATCTAAATTTCCCCCTGTGACTATTCATACAATCATATCTGTTATCTCTTGATTATTACTTTCTCTATCAATACATGATGATTCCCTTAGCACATACTAAATTATTATGTGTACTACACATTGTTTCTGAGCTTTCTATTTTGATCCATTGGACTCTAGTTGTCTGTTTTTATTCTAGGACTAGAGTATCTTAATTACTACAGCTTTATAATATACTTTGACAGCTCATAGCTATCTCTGATTACATTTCTTTGTCCAAATTACATTAGAAATTATTCTTTCAGTTAAATGTAATAATTATTTTCATCAAGGCTGTTAGCCCTTGCAGGAATAACTTACCTCATGTTTTGATTGATATTGTAACATCAGAACATTAACATATTCAGTAGCTCTTCTGAGGGGTCTCTCCATTTATTCTCTTAGTAAAATTTTCTTTCTCTCAGTAAGGTTTTATGGCTTTTTTCACATGGGTTTGACACTGATCTTAAAGGTTCTCCTTGTCATCTTATATTTTTGGATAGCATTCTAAGGAGGTCCTTTTTTTTAAATTTTTTATTGTTGGTTGTTCAAAACATTACATAGTTCTTGATATATCATATTTCACACTTTGATTCAAGTGGGTTATGAACTCCCATTTTTACCCCGTATACAGATTGCAGAATCACATCAGTTACACATCCATTGATTTACATATTGCCATACTAGTGTCTGTTGTATTCTGCTGCCTTTCCTATCCTCTACTATCCCCCCTCCCCTCCCCTCCCCTCTTCTCTCTCTACCCCCTCTACTGTCATTCATTTCTCCCCCTTGTATTATTTTCCCCTTTCCCCTCACTTCCTCTTGTATGTAATTTTGTATAACCCTGAGGGTCTCCTTCCATTTCCATGCAATTTCCCTTCTCTCTCCCTTTCCCTCCCACCTCTCATCCCAGTTTAATGTTAATCTTCTTCTCATGCTCTTCGTCCCTACTCTGTTTTTAGTTACTCTCCTTATATCAAAGAAGACATTTGGCATTTGTTTTTTAGGGATTGGCTAGCTTCACTTAGCATAATCTGCTCTAATGCCATCCATTTCCCTGCAAATTCTATGATTTTGTCATTTTTTAATGCAGAGTAATACTCCATTGTGCATAAATGCCACATTTTTTTAACCATTCGTCTATTGAAGGGCATCTAGGTTGGTTCCACAGTCTTGCTATTGTGAATTGTGCTGCTATGAACATCGATGTAGCAGTGTCCCTGTAGCATGCTCTTTTTAGGTCTTTAGGGAATAGACCGAGAAGGGGAATAGCTGGGTCAAATGGTGTTTCCATTCCCAGCTTTCCAAGAAATCTCCATACTGCTTTCCAAATTGGCTGCACCAATTTGCAGTCCCACCAGCAATATACAAGTGTACCCTTTTCCCCACATCCTCGCCAGCACTTGTTGTTGTTTGACTTCATAATGGCTGCCAATCTTACTGGAGTGAGATGGTATCTTAGGGTGGTTTTGATTTGCATTTCTCTGACAGCTAGAGATGGTGAGGATTTTTTCATGTACTTGTTGATTGATTGTATGTCCTCCTCTGAGAAGTGTCTGTTCAGGTCCTTGGCCCATTTGTTGATTGGGTTATTTGTTATCTTATTGTCTAATTTTTTGAGTTCTTTGTATACTCTGGATATTAGGGCTCTATCTGAAGTGTGAGGAGTAAAGATTTGTTCCCAGGATGTAGGCTCCCTATTT